GCTGCCACCACTCTGGTTTTAGGATCCCTTGAGAAGGCCCAGAGCACCTTCCCAAGACCTTGTTTGGCCGAATAATAGGTGTGAGGACCAGGCAGAGTAAACCAACAAAGAATAAGTGTATTTTTATAGGAAGTCAGTCAAATATGTGAAGCAAACAATGTGCAAGAACAATAGCAATAAGGGGGCGAAGAGAAAAGAAACCAAATGCCCTAACGAAACTAGACTCACAGTCCCTAGTCCACTGTCTCAGTCGGGCCTGAGTCTACTCACCCTTCCTCTCAGGGTGAGGGTCTCTCCCAGCAGCAGCCTTCCCTCTGGCCCTGCCCTCTTGGAAGAAAGAACAGCTCTTCTTCTGTACCGGCTCTTTTGTTATAAGCAATGTCCCCTCTAAGCTGTGGAGTCTTGTGAGCAAAAATTCTACTCTGTGAGCTACTGGCATTAAAGTTGTGAGCGAGCGATTTGGCTGCTGCGTCAATTAGTCTGCTCTGGAGCCCTCCTTCCTGAGCGAGGACAAAAGTGTGTGAGCCAGAGGCTAAAGAAATGCGAGATAGCTCACACTAACTCAGCTTAAAGGGAACACTGGTTATAAGTCCCCTTTCTCTGTGGTTGGCTAAAATTGGCGCCAAAACCCCTCAGGGGCTTCTGGGAGTTGTAGGCCTGGCCTCCTCCCACTGCTACTCAGGCTTCCTGGGCCTGCTAGGCCTTTGCTTGCACAGTCCAGATCATGGCAGACCCCCTAAAACTGTTCCTGAATAAAGTATTAGTGGGATTTAGCAAGACAGGGAGACAGGAGAGTCTTTCTTTGCAAGAGTCACGGGTGCCTGGAGTAAAGTATCGCCCTTATAATAACAGACATTTGGTGACCCTCGGTAGGGTCTCCCTCCCTCCCTGAAGCTTTTGCACAAGCAGAAACACAAGAATAAAGGCCACAGTAGTTGTTCACACCAGGTCACAATGATTGTATTTCTACTTGTGTTTCTGCTTGCGTGAGATAACATGCGGCCAATTTCTAAAGACTGTGATATAAAGAGAGGAAAGTACTAGGTGTTGCATGAGAGCTCGCACAAGTGGAACTGTCCCACACCTGTCCTGAAAAACGCAACATGCTCTGCATCTTAATAACATCAGTACAGATAAGATTAGAATTTCAACAGCCAATCCACATGCAAAAGAACCTCCTCAGGAAAGCTCCTCCATTAGCACACCACAGCCTGGGGGACTCCTACAAGAGAATGACTCAGTCCTACCCCACCTTCCTGAGTAGATATCAATTACCTGCCTACCCTTTTTCCTTCTCACCTCGACACAGAGAGTACTCCATCTTTCTGTGTTACACCTCTGAGGATGCCAGTCACAGCTGCTGGCGAAATGTCAGGTCCTATAATGCCAAGACCACGGCCACACAGCCCGGAAAATCTAGAACAACTAGGGCTATTTTGGGGCAGGAACGCACAGGAATGGAGTTCCGGCTGGCTCCCGAGTTGGCCACGCCCAGCAGGAACGCATTAGCATAATAGGCCACACCCAACAGCAGAACCTCATTAGGATTGGCTACATCAGGGGTGTGTGGCCTAACATGCAAAGGAGTCCCTGCTACAAAAAAAGGCCCTGGGTTTTGACCACAAACAAGGTAAACAGAATAAGAAGCAAAAGGTGGGTGAGGCTGGATGAGCACACTTCTGGTAACATGGGAATGTGGCCTAATATGCCAACGAGCTGTGCTGCCAGGGGTGTGGCCTAATAGGCTAATGCGTTTCTGCTGTTGGGTGTGGCCTATTATGCTAAAGAGTTCCTGCTGGTCTTTTTCTACCAAAAAAGCCCTGATAACAACTAATGAACTCCGGCCGTGAAAGCCTTCGGCAACCTATTATACCACACCTGTTCACGTTTACGCTTGTGTGTCGCTGCATCCAAACCTGGTGGTGGATGGGAAATGCTGTCAAGTCGCAGCTGGCTTACGGTACCCTCATAGGGTTTTCAAGGCAAGAGAGGTTTGCTGTTGCTTGACTCTGTGTCACAACCCTGGTATCCCTTAGTTGTTTCCCATCCAGGTACTAAGTAGGGCGGACCCTGCTTAGTTTCTGAGATTAGAGATGTAAAATTTCCGGAAATTTTGAAGCTCGGAAAAAAACCCTGTTTTTTTCGGGGGAAAACGGAAATTTTCGGAAAAATTGAAAAAAATGCTACATTAGCACTTCTTTTGTCTTTTCTAGATTGAAAGTCATGCTGTTACTTTAGGAACATAAAATATGACTATGGGCATTTTTACTTGGCATGAAATTATCACAACTTGCATATTAAAAATATAGTGTGTCCAAACAGTTATTACAAACAGAATACCCGCCCACATGCAAAAACAAAACTGAAACCTTTTTCTTTTCTCGTGACAATAGCACCTCCTAAAGGAAGAAATGCATCTTGTTCTTGCATTGGAGAGTTCAGTTTGTAACCTAGGACTTGCTTGTCCTCAGTGCACAGAAATTAGATCAATCTGATACCATATATGAAATGATTTGAAAAATATTTAAATACCTTGTCTTAAAATATTTTATTCATATATATATTAGAAATGATTTGGAAAATATTTGAACACCTTGTCTTATTTATTTATTTATTTAATTTCATTTATACCCCGCCCTCCCCGCCTTCATCATGTTAAAATAAAACGTTCCATAATCAGTTTTTTTTCTTTTCTTTTGTTTTTTCAATTTTTCCAATTTTTCGGAAAAAAACAAAAAAGGCTTCAGGAAAAAAACAGGGATAAACGGGGATTTTCCTAATTTTTCCGTTTTTTTTCTGGGCCTTCACATCTCTGTCTGAGCTCTGACAACATTGGGCCAGCCTGGACTATCCAGGTCAGGGGCCTCCAAGCCTATAGGCCTCTGAGTCAGGGTGCCAAAGCACTCGGCCTTGTGCTACACATGAACTGCTAGGAGGGTTTGAGCTTGTATTTGTCTTCCAGTTCTTCTAAGTGTTTCTGGAAGTCTAGTGCAGGGGGGGGGGGAGGGAAATTCTGGCAGAGTCTCCCTCCTCCTCCAAGAGTTAGGCCTTGAAGAATGAGTCGGCGTAGAGTCCTGAGGCAATAGGATGAACGGTGCCGTTTTAGCCAGCGGGTAGGTAGTTAGATCACGTTTTTGGAAGGCTTCCATGTCTCGGAGCAGCTTGCATGAAGACAGTTAACAAAGCAGGGAGTGGATTTGACAAGAATCTTTCTTTCTGGTCTGCTGGGGTTTTTTTTTTTTTAACTTTGGGGGGGGAGTGTTGTCTGTGTGAGAGACCATTTACGAATGGCTTCCTGCCAGCTGTGTAGTAAAGTTGGGCGGGACATTCTGCCATCTCAGGATTTGCTGTTCTGTTTGCCACATGGGTAGAGCAGGCCTTGAATTTTAATTCCTCCTCCTCCTCCTTTTAATTATACCACTATTATAGTTATATTATTATTATCAGGGCTATTTTTGGGCAGGAACGCACAGGAACGGAGTTCCGGCTGGCTCCCGAGTTGGCCACGCCCAGCAGGAACTCATTAGCATAATAGGCCACACCCAATAGCAGAAATTCATTAGGATTGGCTACATTAGGGGTGTGTGGCCTAACATGCAAAGAAGTCCCTGCTACAAAGCCCTGGGTGTTGACAACAAACAAGGTAAACAGAATAAGAAGGGAAAGGTGGGTACAGCTGGATGACCACACTTCTGGTAACATGGGGGTGTGGCCTAATGTGCTAATGAGCGGTGCTGTCAGGGTGTGGCCTAATATGCTAATGAGTTTCTGCTGTTGGGTGTGGCCTATTATGCTAATGAGTTCCTGCTGGGCTTTTTCTACAAAAAGAGCCCTGCTATTATATTATTAGATGGTCGTGCCCTGCGTCTCCTTTTATTGGCATTGGCCCTGGCTAACGATGCTGTTCTTTTTTTATCATTCTTTCCGTAAAGCCTATTAAACCCTGTCGGCTGATGACCAACAATGCCGGAAGGTTGTACCACTACCGCATTACGGTGTCGCCTCCTACAAACTTCTTAGTAAGTACCGCAGGGAACAGCCAGAGCTGGTAGACTTCTCTTTGCTTTCCTTTGGATCCTCGTGAGAGAATGCTCCGACTTTTAATCTTGTTTCTTTAGACAGACCGGCCAACTGTCGTAGAGTACGATGACCACGAATACATCTTTGAGGGCTTCTCCATGTTTGCCCACGCTCCGCTCACCAATGTAAGCAAGCTTTCTGTTTTAAATCTCTGTGGGATTTTCTGTCAAGTGCACAAGTCCTCCTCAGCTTTAGGGGTTTTTTTTGTTTTTTTTAGAGCCAGTTTGGTGTAGTGGTTAAGACTCTAATCTGGGAGAACCGGGTTTGATTCCCCAGTCCTCCACTTGCAGCTGATGGATGATCTTGGGCAAGCCAGAGTTCTGTCAGAGCTGTCCTTGAAAGGGCAGTTCTCTCAGAGCTCTCTCAGCCCCACCTACCTCACAGGGTGTCTGTTAACATAAGAACATAAGAACATAAGAGATGCCAATGTTGGATCAGGCCAAAGGCCCATCCAGTCCAACACTCTGTATCACACAGTGGCCAGAAATACCAGGTGCCATCAGGAGGTCCACCAGTGGGGCCAGGACATTAGAAGCCCTCCCACTGTTGCCCCCCCCCCGAAAGCACCAAGAAGACAGAGCATCACTTGCCCCAGAGCCCCTATCTATACCTTGTGGCTAATAGCCACTGATGGACCTCTGCTCCATATGCCTATCTAATTCCCTTTTGAAGCCGTCCATGCTTGTAGCCGCCACCACTTCCTGTGGCAGTGAATTCCAAGTGTTAATCACTCTTTGGGTGAAGAAGGACTTCCTTTTATCTGTTCTAACCCGACCGCTCAGCAATTTCATGGAGTGCCCACGAGTTCTTGTATTGTGAGAAAGGGAGAAAAGTACCTCTTTCTCTACCTCTTCTTTCCCATGCATAATCTTATAAACCTCAATCATGTCACCCCTCAGTCGTCGTTTCTCCAAGCTGTTGTGGGGAGGGGAAGGGAAAGGAGTTTGTAAGCTGCTCTGAGACTCCAAATGCAGGGTGGGGGATAAATCCAATCTCTTCTTCTCTTCTTCTCTCCCCCCCCCCCAGTCTACAGCCCAGAAACCTGTACCCGTTTCCCTGGTTCTGTCACAGACATCTCTTTTTGGGGAGGCTAGTCAGGCCAGGATTCAGGAAGCCATCAAACAGTCCTGTCGCCTCAGACGTCAGCCTTCAGTCCACCAGAAAAGGGGGAGAATCCATTAATAGAATTATTCTCCTGCAGATTTTTTTTTTTTAAAAAAGGATCTGAATCACTGCATCCTTTTTGTGGATTTTTTATTATGAAAGCATATGTCTCTGTAAAAATAAGTGGCGAGGTTTTAAGGAATCAGCACGGACAAAAGTGCAGCCGACGCTTCGGCGTCATTTCTGTTTCTCTAGCTCATTCTAGAGAGACAGAAATTCTGGGGTGATCTGGTCCATGGGGTCACAAAGAGTCGGACTCGACTGTGCGACTGAACGACAACAAAAGCTCATTCTACCTCTTCTTTGAACCTAAAAGTTTGTGAGAACTTTCCACGAAGTTCCACAGATATCTGAAGAACTTTGTTCCATTGCCTCAGAACAACACGGCTACCTACCAGAATCTATACTAGGGTGTCGTGACCCCATTGACACAAACCATTTTAGCAGGCAAGATTAGCTCCTTCAGACAGGGACAGTGTGACCTCGGGAAAACGCCACACTCTGTATTTTCAGAAAGGCTGAGCAAGGCGCAGCTTGACCCTCTGGCGACCCCGTGGGGTTTTCAAGGGAAGAGAGATTCGGAGGTGTTTTGGCATTGCCTGCCTCCCCATCAGAACCTTGGTATTCCTTGGAGGTCTCCCATCCCAATACTAGCCATGGCTGACCTTGCTTAGCTTCCAGGATCTGACAAGATTGGGCTAGTTATTGAGATAAAAACATTGACCGATTTGTGCTGGGTCAATATTTGTTTATTTGCAAGCATAGTATTTGCTTATTTTTGAGCATAACGTGCGTGAAGCACTTCGAGACTTTTGAGGGTGATTACTGATGGCGTCTTTAGTAATTAAGAACATAAGAACATAAGAGATGCCAATGTTGGATCAGGCCAAAGGCCCATCCAGTCCAACACTCTGTATCACACAGTGGCCAGAAATACCAGTGCCATCAGGAGGTCCACCAATGGGGCAAGGACATTAGAAGCCCTCCCACTGTTGACCCCCGCAAGCACCAAGAAGACAGAGCATCCCTTGCCCCAGAGCCCCTATCTATACCTTGTGGCTCACAGCCACTGGAGGGATTTCTGTTCCATATGCTTATCTAATTCCCTTTTGAAGCCCTCCATGGTTGTAGCCGCCACCACTTCCTGTGGCAGTGAATTCCAAGTGTTAATCACTCTTTGGGTGAAGAAGTACTTCTTTTTATCCGTTCTAACCTGACCGCTCAGCAATTTCATGGAGTGCCCACCAGTTCTTGTATTGTGAGAAAGGGAGAAAAGTACCTCTTTCTCTACCTGCTCTTTCCCATGCATAATCTTATAAACCTCAATCATGTCACCCCTCAGTTGTCGTTTCTCCAAGCTAAAGAGCCCTAAGCGCCTTAACCTTTCCTCATAGGGAAAGTGTTCCAACCCTTTTATCATTCGAGTTGCCCTTTTCTGCCCTTTTTCCAAAGCTATAATATCCTTTTTAAGGTGTGGTGACCAGAACTGCACACAGTATTCCAAATGAGGTCGCACCATTGATTTATATAGGGGCATTATGATATTGGCTGATCTGTTTTCAATACCCTTCCTAATAATCCCCAGCATACCATTGGCCTTTTTTATTGCAGTCACACACTGTCTCAACATTTTCAGTGAGTTATCTACTACCCATTATTAAGAACAACACCAAAAGGGACCACAGTATGTACAAAAGTATGACTGCAATGGACAGGGCATGTCAGCCGATACAGAAGCTCCTCAGACCAGTATCTGAAAGTGAGAATAATGATTACTGGGACAGAATTAAACTAATGTGTACTAAATACATATACAAAAAGTCTCTCAAGAAGCACAAATGAGCATTCATTGACATGTGCTAAATGTACCTCTACATTCAAATTTCCGTCATTAAGCCCATCAAAATGACAGGCAGACAGGCATCCAGAACGTAGTTCTGTTTTTGAAAAATGTCTCCATCAGAAGAATGCAGAGTCCAAGTCAGCCAGATCAATTTTCAGGTGATAAATTGTGATTCTGCTATAGCTACTACCTGGAAATGTTCAGACCTGCCGGCCCTCACTTTATGGTATTGGAAGAGATGGGAAATTTACATAACGGAAAAAGTTACATATCAAATTGGTCAGGATGAGTTAAATTCACCTCAGACTGACTTTATAGACCATATTGGATTATTTATCACAGTTTAAGGGGGTTCCAGAAAACCTAAAATCTTTATTGCTATGGTAATATATAAGATGTGACTGGTAGAAGTACTGTCGTGTGACATTATCATTTCTTAACGGGTATTGTTTGATTTTTAGGGATGTGTACTTAAACATTGATATCAGAGACCTGTTTTGCTGTAGAAGGTTTATGTTATTGATGTTGAACTATGTTAAATGTTAATGAAATAAAAACCTTTTAAAAAGATTATGATTCCCGGGCAATAAACAAAAACACACTACAGGAAGTTGTGGCTCTCTCCTGTATAATCAAAGCCTAAGTATTGAAGAGTCTCTTCACTCTCCTTGACATTACTGGGAAGAAAAGCTTTAGTTATCTATGGGAACTCCTGCCTTTCTGGCATGGGGGGGGGGCGCACAGGGCAGATTTAAATAAATAATCGCTTCCGGCACGTGCTCCTCCCTTAGGCTCACCAGTGTCAATAGCGGATTTATATTTCTGTGTACACTGAACAATTACATGAGGTCTTCTGTGCCTAAAGAGAGCCAGTTTGGTGTAGTGGTTAAGTGCGCGGACTCTAATCTGGGCGAACCGGGTTTGATTCCCCATTCCTCTACTTGCAACCAATGTTCCCTCTAAGCTGTGGAGTCCTGTGAGCAAAAATTCTACTTTGTGAGCGACTGGCATGAAGGTTGTGAGCGAGCGATTTGCCTGCTGCATAAATTAGTTAGCTCTGGAGCCCTCCTTCCTGAGCTAAGACAAAAATGTGTGAGCCGGAGGCTCAAAAACTGTGAGCTAGCTCACACCAACTCAGCTTAGAGGGAACACTGCACCTGCTGATGTGACCTTGGGTCAGTCACAAGCTCTGGCACAGCTGTCCTTGAAAAAGAGCAGTTCCTGTCAGAGCTCTCTCAGCCCCAACCACCTCACAGGGTGTCTGTTGTGGGGAGGGGAAGGGAAAGGAGTTTGTAAGCCGCTCTGAGACTCCGAGTGAAGGGCGGGGTATAAATCCAGTCTCTTCTTCTCTTCTTCTAAACAGAAGTTCCTCTTCCCATTAATTTTTTATTGCAGTCACACACTGTCTCAACATTTTCAGTGAGTTATCTACTACCCATTATTAAGAACAACACCAAAAGGGACCACAGTATGTACAAAAGTATGACTGCAATGGACAGGGCATGTCAGCCGATACAGAAGCTCCTCAGACCAGTATCTGAAAGTGAGAATAATGATTACTGGGACAGAATTAAACTAATGTGTACTAAATACATATACAAAAAGTCTCTCAAGAAGCACAAATGAGCATTCATTGACATGTGCTAAATGTACCTCTACATTCAAATTTCCGTCATTAAGCCCATCAAAATGACAGGCAGACAGGCATCCAGAACGTAGTTCTGTTTTTGAAAAATGTCTCCATCAGAAGAATGCAGAGTCCAAGTCAGCCAGATCAATTTTCAGGTGATAAATTGTGATTCTGCTATAGCTACTACCTGGAAATGTTCAGACCTGCCGGCCCTCACTTTATGGTATTGGAAGAGATGGGAAATTTACATAACGGAAAAAGTTACATATCAAATTGGTCAGGATGAGTTAAATTCACCTCAGACTGACTTTATAGACCATATTGGATTATTTATCACAGTTTAAGGGGGTTCCAGAAAACCTAAAATCTTTATTGCTATGGTAATATATAAGATGTGACTGGTAGAAGTACTGTCGTGTGACATTATCATTTCTTAACGGGTATTGTTTGATTTTTAGGGATGTGTACTTAAACATTGATATCAGAGACCTGTTTTGCTGTAGAAGGTTTATGTTATTGATGTTGAACTATGTTAAATGTTAATGAAATAAAAACCTTTTAAAAAGATTATGATTCCCGGGCAATAAACAAAAACACACTACAGGAAGTTGTGGCTCTCTCCTGTATAATCAAAGCCTAAGTATTGAAGAGTCTCTTCACTCTCCTTGACATTACTGGGAAGAAAAGCTTTAGTTATCGATGGGAACTTCTGCCTTTCTGGCATGGGGCAGATTTAAATAAATAATCGCTTCAGCCACATGCTCTTCCCTTAGGCTCACCAGTGTCAATAACGGATTTATATTTCTGTGTACACTGAACAATTACATGAGGTCTTCTGTGCCTAAAGAAAGCCAGTTTGGTGTAGTGGTTAAGTGTGCGGACTCTAATCTGGGAGAACCGGGTTTGATTCCCCACTCCTCCACTTGCACCTGCTGATGTGACCTTGGGTCAGTCACAAGCTCTGGCACAGCTGTCCTTGAAAAAGAGCAGTTTGTGTCAGAGTTCTCTCAGCCCCCCCCCCCCCACCTCCCAGGGTGTCTGTTGTGGGGAGGGGAAGGGAAAGGAGTTTGTAAGCCGCTCTGTGACTCCGAGTGAAGGGCGGGGTATAAATCCAGTCTCTTCTTCTCTTCTTCTGAACAGAAGTTCCTGTTCCCATTACGGTTGCGAGGTCCTTCCTGGCCACCACTAGAGGGTAGAGGGGTTAGGGTGTTCAGCTCCGGATTGGGAAACTCCTGGAGATTTGGGGGTGGAACCTGGGGAGGACAACGGACCTCAGTGGGGTACAATGGCTAGAGTCCAGTGTTCCCTCTAAGCTGAGTTAGTGTGAGCCAGCTCACAGTTTTCTAGCCTCTGGCTCACCCATTTTTGTCCTGGCTCAGGAAGGAGGGCTCCCGAGCAAACTAATTGATGCAGCAGCCCAATCGCTCGCTCAAAACCTTAATGCCAGCAGCTCACAAAGTAGAACTTTTGCTCACAAGACTCCACGGCTTAGAGGGAGCCTTGCTAGAGTCTACCCTCCAAAGCACCCGTTTTCTCCAGAGGAATTGATCTCTGTAGATTGGAGTTGAGCTGTAATTCTGAGGGGACCCCAATGTCCTACCTGGGGGCCGATATCCCTAATTCCATTTGAAATACTGTTTTTTGGCAGGGAGCCTCTTTTGGTATGGTTGTGCCTTCAGTTGCCAGTAGAGGGCAATGTTTTGCTAAATGCTTTCTGTTCATTTTGGGTATAACTTCTGTATCTATGTGTGTGTTACCGACTGGTAGTCACAAGGTTTTTTTTTTTTAAATTTAAATCTCTTTGATCACGTATATCAGAATGCAGCAGAAAATACCGTGAAGGTGCTAAGGGCGTCTCGCTTAAGACTGAACCTGTGTTCCATGCTTTCTCCCCCCCCCCTTCTGCAGATCCCTCTGTGTAAAGTCATCAGATTTAACATCGATTATACAATTCACTTCATTGAGGAGATGATACCCGAAGTAAGTTGTGGGACACATTATGCAAGACATCTGTTTGCTTGGTGAGGCGTCCAGATAATTTTAGATGGGGGCCCGTGCATAATTCTGCCTGTCGTGTGTGGCTGGGTGAACATTTGTGATTTTAAGAGAGTGCTGTCCTGGAATGCCAGTATGAAAATATAATACAGGAAAGAGTAAAATGAGCGAAGTGAATGCCAAGGATATTAGTCGCTTACTAATTCCCATGCTGGCCACTATTGTAGAACACCTAAGGAACAGCGCTTATGTATTTGTGGCTCTCCCGTTATTGAGGATCTTTCCCATTACATCCTTGATTGCTCATTGTATATCCAACCTAGGCTAAAATTTCTCTCTGGTATTTTATCTGTTTTAAGCTTTTCCCTGTTCCCTTCCCCTATTTATCTACTTGCAAGAACTACTGACCTTCCACAGCCTGCAGTTCAGCGTCTTAACCACTTGAGCCACCGCAGCTCCAAGGATATTAGTCGCTTACTAACTCCCACTGCATTTCTGGAATCCTGCATTGCTTGCAGAGCCAGGCTAGAGTCTGGGAGACCCAGTTTCAAAGGCCCACACTGCCCCGGAAGCTTGCCGGATGAGTTTCGGCCAGGCACTTTCTCTCTGCCGAGCCTACCTCACAAGGCTGTTGTGAGGATAAAGGTGGGAAAGAAGGATAAAGATGGGAAAGAAGGAAGGTGTGCTACCCTCCTCTCCTTGGAATAGTAATTAATAATCATCGTATGGCTTTGTGTCTAGAATAGCCAGGAGATCCTAAGATTGCCTGGCAGCCAGAAGTTCTCGCTCTTTTAGCGTTATGCACCGCTAGGTCGCGAGCTAGACTTGTTTTCAGGGCAAGAGACATTCAGAGGTGGTTTGCGATGGCCTGCCTCTGCGTCGTGTCCCTGGTGGTTCTTTGGAGGTCGCCCTCCCAAATACTAGCCGAGGCCGGACCCTGCTTAGCTTCTGAGATCTAGGTCAAGGCATCTCCTTGGAGGGTTGGCCAGATAAAACACACCATGGAGCTCAGGGGTCTCCCAGCTTCCTTTGAAAATGACCACTGCTTCTGAGTACTAAAAAAATAACCGGAGCTACTCCCCGCCCGACCCGTGTGGCATATTACAAGGTAGCGATCTCCCCTCCCCGGTCTGTGTGGCGGTTACTCCACGCGGGTTTCTTGGGCTTGGAACTGGCTGCGGGAGGGAGGGGAGAGCCCGGGAGATCAGGGATCCTTGCATAGACTTCATGCTGGATCCAGGCCAGTGTCCTTTTTGCCTGAAGGCTCCAGCCTCTCAGCTGTTGTGCAGAGGATAAGCTCCCCCGAGGTAGAATCCCAGCCTCCTCCGACCTCAGTTCTCAAATAATAGGTCTCTGCCCGCGAGTGGTGGGCAACATAACGTTGGAGCCCATGGCTCCGTTTGGCTACGGGTGGCCCTTTCACTGACACGAGAAGCGCTGTCGTTGGGGAAGAGAAGAAGAGTTGGTTTTTTATACCCCGCTCTCCACTACCGAAAGGAGTCTCAGAGCAGCATACAATCTCCTTCCCCTCCCGTCAACAGACACCCTGTGAGGTAGATGGGGCTGTGTTAAGTCCAGCGCTTAACAAATAGTCGGAGAGTGATTTCAGCAAAAACTCAAGTTTATTCACGGTCACGAACACTTCTCCAACACGGTACAACATCTGATAGCCCGAACAGCTTGTCCATTCTAGCTGCTCGGTATTTAAACATTTCCCGGCTAATGTAGCCACGCCTCTATACAGATAACAACCAATGCGGTTGAACGGATAAGGTCCCATCAATGTCGTTCCCGCTTACAGACATTCGAACGTGATTGGAAACATTAGTCTTGGACTACAATCCCTGTCCAAGACGAAGCTTAACATTGCTTCCTTATGAGATGGTTCACACACACATCTTAGTGCATTCCTAGGCAGTATCTGAATACACTACAGGCTGAGAGAGCTCTCTCGAGAATTGCTCGTGAGGGAACAGCTCTGAGAGAACTGTGCCTGACCCAAAGTCACCCAGCTGGCTGCATGTGGAGGAGTGGAGGATCAAACCTGGTTCTCCCAGATTAGAGTCCTGTGGCTCTTAACCACTACACCAGACTGGCTGGCCACCGCTGTCCGAATGGATCCATGGGATCCGACCCCTGACTTTTCGAAGCTTCTGTTTGATATTGAACGTGTGAAGTGTGCCTGGGGGGGGAAATGGCTGACAGGAGGATGTAGCTTCCTTCTTCCCCAAGAAAGCACAAAGGTTGGCTTGGTTTGCCAACCAGGTTCTCTTTGTGTTCCTCTCCACCCCATTCCCCATGTCCACTGCCCTGTAGAAAGGGCCGAGGTGCGAAGGAGAGGCAAGATTTCTCTTGTCTGGGCTGGGATGCGAAGAGAGACTCCTGGTCGTTCTGACTGTCTCTGAACTGTTCAGGTGAGAGTGCAGAGAGCCAGTTTGGTGTCGTGGTGAAGTGCGCGGACTCTAATCTGGGAGAACCGGGTTTGACTCCCCACTCCTCCACTTGCAGCTGCTGGGTGACCTTGGGTCAGTCACAAGTTCTCTCAGAGCTGTTCTCTCACAAGCCTTTCTTGGCACCCACCAAATGTTTTTAGAAAGTGGGTAAGGTCAAGTGGGCCTCTTGCCCAGCAAGGCTTCCGACTGGGTGCTGGAGTTCTGATTAAAATAATAGGTTTTTTGCTGCCACCGCACTGTTGGTTTTATTCTCCCTTGTTCCTCTTTCCCGAAGTATTTTTGGAATCACCCCTCTTCTTCCCTGCACTTGGGCTTCCTCTGTGTGGTTGACTCTACTTAGGGTTGCCAAGTCGAAAATCGTCGGGAGCGTGGGACTCCCGTCCGGCGTCCTATGCACCGCACGCACGTCACCAGGAAGTGACGTTATGATGCCGGGCACGCTGGGGGCGGGGCCACGACCATCCAAAGGGGAAACATAGAGTTTCCCCCTCGGATGGCCGTGGCCCCGCCCCCAGCGTGCCCGGAGTCATAACATCACTTCCTGGTGACGCGCACACCGGGGTGGGGTTCCCCCCTGGGCCTGATCCGCCGCCGGCGGGGAACAGGCCTCTGGGGTGGGGGTTTCCCCGCCCCCCGGGGGGACTTGGCAGCCCTAGCTCTACTTCCTGCAACAGCCATTTTGTGGTTGACTCCACTTCCTGTGGCAGCCATTTTGTGATTGCGCTCACGACTCCGTTAGAATTCCAAAAGTTCCCACAGGCTCAAGGGAGATTGGGACTCCTGGCCTAGGGGGACCAATGGTCTGATTCAGTATAAGGCTTTTCTTTATATGCCTATATCACATGCTCTGCCACCGACCTCCTCCTCTCTCAATAGATTCTAGTCTGCGGGCCCTTAAACACGTTTATTGTGCCTCTGTGTCCGTCTATCTGTCTCCTTAGGATGTGGCCGATTGTGTGTATGTATGTATAAAAGGAGAAGTCTTCCAGGTACAGATGTTTGTAATCACTCAGGGTCGACGCCATTTTGTATTTCAGTCCTGTCACATCGAGTTGGAGAATATACAGTTTTAATTGGCATAATTTCTTTCCAGAGCAGCGCATAGATTTTAAAATGATTTTTCCTCCTCGCTTGTTCTAAAGGACGGTAATCCCCAATTCGTGATTTACTGATTTCTGTCTGGGAGAGTGTCGTGTTATAGCACCCGTGGTAATTTATCAGCTTTTAGCTCGGACAAGCCGGACAAGGAGAATTACGAGAGAGGGCCTCTTTTTCCACACATATCATCCCTCCGACTTATTCTGGTGAAAGGCCTTTTGGCACACTATAACTTACGGCATAGCCCTGAACTCATAATTTTTGCCTCCTGTCTGAATATAGGCTTTTCATAAGGATATTTCTTCATGGTACGCATGAAGCTGCCTTAGACCCGAGTCAAGCCATTGGCCCGTCAAGGTCAGCATTGTCCGCTGTAACTGGCAGAGGTTCTCTGGGGTCTTAGACGAGGCCTTTCATGTTACCTGTTAGTTGACCTCGTTCTCTGGGTCTGCAAAGGAGAAATCTGCCCAAGACTTGGAAGCACCAGTTCAGTACAAGGCAGTGGCTTATTGCTTCAGGTGCCTGTGAAAGGTAGCAAAATTAACACTCCGTAAGCTGTAAAGAGCTGCGGTGGCTCAAGTGGTTAGCACGCTCTTCTATACAGACCTGTAGTTTTTAACCAATATTGTCTCCCTACCTCCTCGGTTAATTCCTGTGCTGGTATTAGGGTACCTTCTCTGAATAAATCTCTTAGCCTGTAGTATCCCTTTGGTCTCAATAGTCCGCACCATTTATTTTCTCCTGTTTCATTGTACAAGGACTTTAGTGGGGCTCAAGTAGTTAAGACGCTGAACTGCAGGCTGAGGAAGGTCAGTAGTTCAGCAGTTCGAGACCCGAGTGTGCCGCATGACGGAGTGAGCTCCCGTCTCTAGTTCCAGCTCCTGCCAACCTAGCAGTTCGAAAGCAAGAAACTGCAAGTAGATAAATAGGTACCACTTCAAATGGGAAGGTAACAGCGTTCCGTGCGCCTCGGTGTTTAGTCATGCCAGCCACATGACCACGGAGACGTCTTCGGACAGCGCTGGCTCTTCGGCTTTGAAACGGAGATGAGCGCCGCAACCCTAGAGTCGGACTCGACTGGCTTTCGAGCAAGGGAAACCTTTACCTTTACTTTTTAAGCTTTGAACGATGACAGAAGAGGATGGAGGGCCACGCCGAAGCATTAGAAAATACGGAGGGCAGCCTTAGTCAGGTTCGCAGGGCGTAATGACAAGATGTGAACTTGTTGCTTTGCTGTTAGCATCACAGTGGCCACGGCTGACACCAGTGTTCCCTCTAAGATGAGTTAGTGTCTCACAGCTTTAATGCCAGTAGTTCACAAAGTAGACTTTTTGCTCACTAGACTCCACAGCTTAGAGGGAGCGTTGGCTGCCCCAGGTACGGACCGCCTGGCGTCCTCCCCTGAATCTTCTCTGCTGGCCTTGTCTGCAGTCAAGTTTTACACCAACACTAATAGCGGATTGAGGACAAGTCCATTTTAGGCAGCTCCGGGTTGGGAAATACCTGGAGATTTTTTTTGGGGGGGTGGAAGCTGTGGAGGGTGGGGTTTGGGGAGGTGAAGGACTTCAGTGAGGTATAATGCCACGGAGTCCACCTTCCAAAGAGGCCATTTTGTCAAGGTGAACTCATCTCTGTCGCCTGGAGATCAGTTGTCATCCCAGGAGATCTCTGGTCACCAGCTGGAAGTTGGCAACTCTAGGTCCATCAGTGGTCAAAGGGAAACCTCCACATCCAGAAGCTGTAAACACCTAAATACCAGTCGCCCTGCTTGTAAGTTACAGTGAACGTGTGTACATAAGAACATCAGAGACGCCAATGTTGGATCAGGCCAGTGGCCCATCCAGTCCAACACTCTGTGTCACACAGTGGCCAGAAATACCAGGGGGCATCAGGAGGTCCAGCAGTGGGGCCAGGACACCAGAAGCCCTCCCACTGTTGACCCCTCCCTAAAGGGAAACCTCCACATCCAGAAGCCGTAAACCCCTAAATACCAGTCGCCCTGTTTGTAAGTTACAGTGAACGTGTGTACAATCTATATGCAGTGTAGACTTTGATTTTTCTTCATATAAGCATATAGTAATTTCTCATGCTACATTCAATGCGTGTACAGACACACGTGTGGTAGGAGTCCCATAGATTATCCCGGTACTGATCCCTGGTTTCATTTGTGACGTGAAAGCACATAGGCATATGTACAGTAACGTGTGAACAAGGCTAGTATTAGCAGGGAACATCAGTGTAAGGCCTCCAATGCCCTGTTTGTTGGCCCTTTGGGGCAACTAGTTTGCCATTGTGTGGAACAGGATGCTGGACTAGATGACCCCTGGTTCCAATGTTCCCTCTAAGCTGTGGAGTCTTGTGAGCAAAAATTCTACTTTGTGAGCTATTGGCATTAAGGTTGTGAGCGAGCGATTTGGCTACTGTGTAAATTAGTTTGCCCTGGAGCCCTCTGAGCTAATACAAAAATGTGTGAGCCGGAGGCTAAAAAACTGTGAGCTAGCTCACACTAACTCAGCTTAGAGGGAACGCTGCCTGGTTCTGAGTTGGCAGGCCACCTTTTATGTCAGCTGTGGTCGAACTTTCCCAACATTAAATGGATAATGGATAAGCAGGGCTTGGTGTAAAAGAGCCCTGGCCGCATATGTACTGTAACGTGTGAACAAGGCTAGTATTAGAAGGGAACATCAGTGTAAGGGCTCCGTGCCCTGTTTGTTGGCCCTTTGGGGCAGCTAGTTTGCCATTGTGTGGAACAGGATGCTGGACTAGATGACCCCTGGCAGGCCAACTTTTATGTCAGCTGTGGTTGAACTTCCCAACACTGAATGGATAATGGATAAGCAGGGCTTGGTGTTTAAATAGCAATTCAGTACTAAAAGAGATCCAGTTTTCTGTACCGAGAAAGGGTAAATTATGTGATCTGTGTAACTCAAGCAAGTTAGATGGAATGACATATTTTTTCATAAGAACATAAGAGACGCCAATGTTGGATCAGGCCAAAGGCCCATCCAGTCCAACACTCTGTATCCCACAGTGGCCAGAAACACCAGTGCCATCAGGAGGTCCACCAGTGGGGCCAGGACATTAGAAGCCCTCCCACTGTTGACCCCCCCCCCCAAGCACCAAGAAGACAGAGCATCACTTGCCCGAGTCCCTATCTATACCTTGTGGCTAATAGCCACTGATGGGCCTCTGCTCCAGATGCTTATCTAATTCCCTTTTGAAGCCGTTTAACTGTTGTTCTGCGTACAGAGTGTTGTCCTGAGGCTAGAAACAGGTAGAGCCAGTGTGGTGTAGCGGCTAGGAGCGTGGTCTCTAATCTTGGAGAACCAGGTTTGAATCCGCACTTCTCCGCATGCAGCTGCTGGTGTGACCTTGAGTCAGTCACAAGTTCTGTCAGAGTGACATATTTTTTTCATTTGATATCAATCATTTTGCACTTGTTAGAGCACTTTCACAATGCTAAATAATGCAATTCCAGTCCGCTTCAGCGGTGGTTTGCAAATGGATTTTGCCATTTCACAGTCAAATCCAGTTGAAAAGCACATTGAAAGTGGATTGGAAGTGTGTTATTTAGTGTGTGTGAAAGCACTCGTAGTCACAGGGAAGGGCAAACGTTTTCTGAGCCTGGCTCCTGGTTCTCAGGAATTGCCCGCACAAGCTTATCTTCACGGGCATGAGAACTAGAAACTTGTTCTCTTTTAGAACTGGAAACTGCTACAGTCCTAAGAATGACCATTGTTATGCTGTTGAGACATTGCTTATGTGTTGATAGTGTTGTGTATGACATTACTTTGGGCTTTCTTTTGTTTTCCAGAATTTTTGTGTTCGAGGCCTGGAATTGTTCTCTTCCTACCTGTTCAAAGATATTCTAGAACTATACGACTGGAATCTTATAGGTAACTGTCTGGTTGAATGTTTATTTTTTATTTGTTTACCATACAGAATAAAAAGGGACAAAAGGGAAAATTAGAAGCATAAAGCATAATTTATTAAATACATTTTAAGGACATTGCATAATATAAGAATATAAAACATGACAAAACAACATGACAAATCAAAATATAGTAAGATATTTCCATATATTTCCATTATTTCTTGTCTATAGGGCTAGGTAAGAAAGCATGTAAGCAAAGAACATAGAAGAAGAAGAAAGTAAATTTTCTTTGTTATCTTTATATAAGGTTGATATGATCATATAATAACTAGTAAGTATATAACTGAAAAAGATTAATGAGAATATCTATGAGAATATGATTATATGATTTTGAGTATTAATCAGTTGAAGTTTCTTTGTAACTCTGACAGCTTTATCTAATCTGTGTTGCTTGTCTGTAGTAATTATAAAAGGCTTCCCACTTACATATACATATTTATGTTATTATTTTATTATTATTGTATTACATACATTTTATTATTTTATATTTGTTGTTGTTATACAAAAAGAATTCATAATCAAGAAGAAATTGTATAAAATATGCAACATAATGGCCATACTTAACAAGATAACATAACTATATCTGTTGCACATCATTCTCATTCCTTAATGCCATTGGTCTAATTAGTTGTTAGCAATGTTCCCTCTAAGCTGTGGAGTCTTATGAGCAAAAATTCTACTTTGTGAGCTACTGGCATTAAAGTTCTGAGCAAGCGATTTGGCTACTGCATAAATTAGTTTGCTCTGGAGCCCTCCTTCCTGAGCCAAGAAAAAAATGTGTGAGCTGGAGGCTAAAAAAATGTGAGCTAGCTCACACTAACTCAGCTTAGAGGGAACACTGGTTGTTAGGTCTCTAAATTTATTCTGTGAGGGGAAAAGGTACCAGGATTGGGGGGGGGGTATGCAGTGGCCTCCATTCTCCCACCCCCTTTCTTAGCTAAAGCATCAGCAGGGGAAGGGTGGAGCTGAGAGGAAAGAGGAATTCGGGGAAGAGCTCTCCCCCATTTGGCTGCCCCATGGAGCCTGCCAGATGCTCTTTTTCTACGAAATGACCCCTGCTGATCATTGGGGGGGGCAGGCCCAGTCTCCAGAGGGGAGGTGTCCAGGCCCCACCGGGAGGGTGGCATCTGCGCCTCGCCTAGGGCGCAGAAACACCTTGGGCCGGCCCTGCTAGCGGGCTGTAATAAGATGTAGAATAGTAGAATGCAGGTTATTGTGAACCTTTGATATGTAATTGAGCAGAAGGGCTTCAATTGTTAAAAAAAGGATCAAATCCAAAACCAGCTTTCATTACATCTGGACAGGATTACCAATAATTTTTAGCTCGAATACCAGTCCACCCCATGAGCTCTGGATGAGTTACAACACTTATCAGGTAAGTTCTTATAGATTTCTGCCAACTTGTATGGAAAGGAATCCCAGAGATATAACATTTTCAAGAAGTTTTCTTTAAATTATGAGGATACCATAAACCTAGAGCCATGTCCCAATATATACCTCCACACTTCACATGGAGTGGTTTTACCTGAATCTTTTCCCGATTTACATATTTTATCTGCATTATTTTACCTGTGTTATTTTATCTATAATATTTTAAAGAAACTGACAGTTAACAAAGTATCAAATAGATATTTTAGTAAGAGGGTTTTTTTCCAACTGTTGTTCTGCGTACAGAGTGTTGCCCTGAGGCTAGATACAGGTAGAGCCAGTGTGGTGTAGCGGTTAGGAGCATGGACTCTAATCTGGGAGAACCAGGTTTGAATCCGCACTTCTCCGTGTGCAGCTGCTGGTGTGACCTTGAGTCAGTCACAAGTTCTGTCAGAGCTGTTCTCTCAAGAGCAGTCCTCAAAAGAGCTCTCCCAGCCCCACCTACTTCACAGGGCATCTGTTGTGGGGAGGGGAAGGGAAAGGAGATTATAAACGGCTCTGAGACTCTGAGAGAAGGGCGGAGGATAAATCCAATATCTACTTTTTAGTTGGAAAAAGGCCCCATTGATTTGTGTGACCCCCGTTGTAAGAGAGTAAGCTTAGATTTGTGTCTTGAAATGTGTATTAAAGACCCAATCCATTTGTAGGCCTTGGATAAGCAGCTGCTTTCAAGCTGTGAGGGGGAAAGGTACCAGGATTGGGGGGGGTGTACGCAATGGCCTCCCTTCCCCCCCCCCTTTTTAGTTAAAGCATCTGCAGGGAGGGGTGGTAAAAGTAAAGGTAAAGGTTCCCTTGCTCGAAAGCCAGTCGAATCCGACTCTAGGGTTGCGGTGCTCATCTCCGTTTCAAAGCCGAAGAGCCAGCGCTGTCCAAAGACGTTTCCGTGGTCATGTGGCCGGCATGACTAAACACCAAGGTGCACAGAATGCTGTTCCCTTCCCACCAAAGTGGTACCTATTTATCTACTTGCAATCTCTTGCTTTCGAACTGCTAGGTTGGCAGGAGCTGGAACTAGAGACGGGAGCTCACTCCGTCATGCAGCACCCGGGTCTCGAACTGGTGAACTACTGACCTGACCATTAATTAGATAGTTATTGCGTGAAGCACACTCTGGTCCACAGAACTTGGGTCTTACTAGTCGGCCTCCTTGTGTCTTCACCACAAATATGCTTCCCTCTCCCAAATTCTCTGGTGAGTACGGAGGGCTGAGGGGAGGGGAAGGGGATTCTCTCATATATACTGGAGTACAGGAAACTGGGAGAGTGAGACTCCTGTTTCTCCTCACATCTTAACCCATGTGAGATAAAATCATGCTTCCTAGCCTTTTGTGCTTCCTGGAGGGCTGACATAGCCGCAAGGTATCATGTGGGGGATTTGGCGAGTTGCTAGATGTTTTCAGGCCTCTTTTTGTAGAAAAACCCAACAGGAACTCAATTAGCATAACAGGCCACACCCAACAGCAAAACTCATTAGCATATTAGGCCACACCCCCATGTTGCCAGAAGTGGGGTCATCCAGCCACACCCACCTTTCCCTTCTTATTCTGTTTACCTTGTTTGTTGTCAAAACCCTGGGCCTTTTTTTGTAGCAGGAACTCCTTTGCATGTTAGGCCACAAACTCCTAATGTAGCCAATCCTAATGCGTCTTTGCTATTGGGTGTGGTCTATTATGCTAATGAGTTCCTTCTGGGCGTGGCCAACTCAGGAGCCGGCCGGAACTCCGTTCCTGTGCGTTCCTGCCCCAAAATAGCCCTGGATGTCTTCATTTGGGAGGCTGAGGATAAGTGCCCCATCGAGCTGCTGTGTAGCTTTCCGGATGGCTGTCTGCACTATATACACATCCTCAAAGGCATATCAGGCCGTCACCTTGATATAGTTTCTTTGCTGGGCGTATTCTTACCATTTAGGCTTACGAAGAACCCTTTGTAATTCTTCAGTCGGTTTCGAGGGGTGAGGGAGGAACCTCAACCATTGCGATTAATTATAATTTGGCGGCACAGCCCATAAGGTGTGCACAATGAGTTGTTATCGTGCCAGACAGAAGCGTTACCCACCATGGTGTTCGCAGATGGCAAGGCACATGATGTGGCTGTTGCACAATACAATAAATTGTACGTGTGTCATGTAACCAGTCACAGGTGGCAAACTGTCATTTGGGGTGGGATGTTCCTTTGGATTGTGGCACAATAAAACTGTACAAATCGGGGTTTTTCCCCCATTCAGACTTCCACAAAAACATAAAGACTTTTTCCCCTTCAGATAAATGTTGAGCTGAGGTCTATAGCTTTTCTCCTGGAGTTTGATTTGTCTCTGAAGACTTATTTTCAGCAAATGCTTCCTTTGTAAGTCTGATGAGTTTGAGGGTTCTGTTGTGTGTGCTTCCCTTTGTGTTGTTAACAAATGTGTTCCCTCATGCCAAGTTCTGAATTAATTACGATAGGGTTTTGCTTGATTTTTCTCCAGTGCCGACCCGAAAGACAGATTCTAAGTGCCTTCTCTTTTTTCTTCGTCTTCTTTTTTTACCTTAAGATTTTAATTAAAATGGTAACCTAGGAAGAAAGCTTTTTTTTTAAAAAAAAAAATGCAGTCACGGCTATTGTGCATTTTAAAAGAAATTTGTCTGAGGGGCAGCCTCACAAGGCCGATCCAAATTATGCTCCAAAGAAAGCTGAAATCTGTGGCCTCTGACAATTGTTGAAGTTAAACCAATTAGTGTAGGGGCTTTTTTCGCAATGGTTTTTTTGCTTGTTTTATTCTGCATCAGTCATGGGAAATAAACCAAAGACTTCTGCAGGGTACAGCCCTGCGGTTTAGAAATCTTGTCAGCTCAGGATTATGTTTTGAGAATTTTACAGGTGTTGTCCATATGCTTTGACTCCACAGCCAATAAGGCTAGAATCTTAATCATAGTTTCTCTCTGCCTCTCTCTCTCTCTCTCTCT